CAAATTTAAAATTTCCAAGTATGTAAACATAGATGTGGGACTTAGAACCTCTGCTTAGAATTAGTCTGCATTTCTTTTTTTTTTTTTTTTTTTTAAGATAGAGTGAGAGAGAGGAGAGAGAGAGACAATTTTTAATATTTATTTTTTAGTTCTCGGCGGACACAACATCTTTGTTGTTATGTGGTGCTGAGGATCGAACCCGGGCCGCACGCATGCCAGGCAAGCGCGCTACCGCTTGAGCCACATCCCCAGCCCTAGTCTGCATTTCTTAACAATGGGTATACATTCAGTTAGGGGATTTTAACGTGTACAAACCTCATAGAATGTACTTACTCAAACTTCAACAGCTAGCCCACACATCACTGGGCACTATAATCTTACAGGACCAAGGTCTCTCTGTTTTTTGTTTTTTGTTTTTTTTGATAAACAAATTATAATATACTCACAATATATAATACCAATCAGCAATAAAGAAGAATGAACTATTAATACATGCTGCAATTGCAGATGAAATCTCATGTTACGTTGAATGGAAGAAGTTGGACACAGAAGATAAATATGATTTGTATTATATGAAGCTCAAGAAAAACAAAACAAATCCATGTTCATAGACATCAGAATAGTATCCCACTCCTCTGCGGAGGTCAATACCTGGAAAGGGGTACCTGGCAATTCAGAGTGACCTTGGTCTGAGTAGGGGCTTCAGGGTGTAAACATATGTTAAACATTCATACAATTGTGCATGTGAGGTCAGAGTAGTTTACTGTGTGTAAAATATACATCTGTAAAAACATTAGATATGGGGCTGGGGATGTGGCTCAAGCGGTAGCGTGCTCGCCTGGCATGCGTGCGGCCTGGGTTCGATCCTCAGCACCACATACAAACAAAGCTGTTGTGTCTGCCGAAAACTAAAAAAATAAAATATAAAAAAAAAGCATTAGATATGTGTTATATGCCTCAGAATGATTCACAACAAATTATTTTCTCCTATACAACCCCACAGAAGGGAGAGGCTAAGGGTGGTACAAAAGGAAGATCAGGGTCCAAACTGGGGAGGAGAGGATACAATTTAAGTATCCAGGCAAATACAGGGACTTTCTCTGTGTTTATTGCAAGGAACAAACAATAAACATAAATTTGTTGTACTTATGAAAAAAAATAAATGAAATAAGTAAATAAAATAAATTTATTACACTTATTAAACTAGTAAAATAGTGGGGCCAAGAAAAGGTCCTAATTGGAGGGGCCCTGTACAGATACTTTTTATATGTTTTATGCCACGTCATATCACATACATTAAAAAAGAAAAAATAATTCAGCTCTATGCATATTTTTGTTCTTTAAAATTTTTTTTTAATCTAGGTACCCATATATCCTCTCATGTAAATAGGATCATATACTTGCTTGTGAGTTGCCTTTTTTTTTTAATTTGTTCTTTTTAGTTATACATAAAAGTAGAATGTATTTTACATATCATACATACATTGAGTATAACTTCTCATTCTTGCAGTTGTACATGATGTGGAGTTTCACTGGTATATTCATATATGAACATGGGAAATTTACACACAATTCATTCTACTGTCTTTCCTATTCCCACCCCACCTCCTTTCCCTTCATTCCCCTTTGTCTAATCCAATGAACTTCTGTTCTTCCCTCCTCCTGCTTATTGTGAGTCAGCATCCACATATCAGAGAGAACATTCAGCCTTTGTTTTGGGGGGATTTGCTTATTTCACTTACCATGATAGTCTACAGTTCCATCTATTTACCAGCAAATGCCACAATTTTATTCTCTTTATGTCTGAGTAATATTTCATTGTGTATATGTATCCATTTTCTTTATCTATTCATCTGTTGAAGGGCACCTAGGTTGGTTCCATAGCTTAGCTATTGTGCACTGAGCTGCTATAACATGAGGTCCCTCTTTGATCCCATTATGTGGCACACCACTGTGCTTCAACCTGGAAAGCATGTGTTAGTCTTAAAGCTTGCACTCAGGTGTAGATTACCATTATTAGTGCACAACCTTGGGCTGGGGACTTCCAACCCATTGCTTCACCCCTCACAGCCACTCATGAAGAAGAACATCAGCTCTGTGGTACACAGGAGGGAACGGTTTCAGAGAAACTGGAGCTTGTCCCAGTTTGTGTGGTTCCAAAGTCCATGTTCTTTCCTTTATGTAGGAAGGCTGCTGGTAGATGAGCATGGGTTTAAAGTGCTTATCTAGTGCTAAAAGCCTCTGATCAGCACCACCTTTAAATGTCTTTCACAGGTGGTTGACACTTTCCCTTTTTGAATGGACAGGGATTGGCTTGACAAGCACAGCTAGAGGTTAAGGCAGCTGTGCAGCTAAGACCACCAGAACATCTCCTGACACCAAGCCCATCAGTAGGCTCTTCTGCTTACATCATTATCTCCAGTAGCCAGCCCAGTGTATTTGTAGAGCAAGATATAAGAAGAGGGGCCCTAGGATTTATCTGGAAGCTCATTTGCATAGTAAGCATAAGCGAAAGCAATGTGCTTGCCAGTAAACAGAGTAAGCAAGATTAACACTTAGATTATACATTTCCTACCAATCAAGATATCAAAGTTTTAGCCCCTGTGGTAGCACATACCTGTAACCCCAGCAGCTCTGGAGGCTGAGGCAGGAGGATCAAGAATTCAAAGCCAGCCTCAACAATTTAAAAAGGCTCTAAGCAACTTAGTGAGACCCTGTCTTTAAACAAAATATAAAAAAAGAGCTGGGGATGTGGCTCAGTTGTTGAGTACCCCTGGGTTCAACCCCTAGTACCAAAAAAAAAAAGTGATGTTTTTAAAATTGACACCCCGCCCCCCACACATCTAACTGAGGAGTTACATAGGGGGATTGGTGAACTAGCCCCCCAAACACCCCAACCCTTCAGTGTACTCCAAAGTCCTACAGTCTCCCCCCAAAATGTGTTCACCACAGCAAGTACAGCTTGGGTGCTCAATTTTGGTCTCCCATTGCTGGAGGAACAGAGTCCCTAGGTGAACCACCAGCCCTACAGAGTCAGGCTGGACCTCCTGATGTCCCTTGGCACTTTCTGCTTTCTATACCTAATCCATTCCTGCTGCTATAGTCAAAATGTCTTAGGGGCCGGGGGCTTGATTCAGGGGTAGAGCATTGGCCCAGCAAAGACCCTGGTTTCAATTCTCACACAAGCAAAGAAAAAAGAAAGGTTACACTGGGTAATACATAAACAATATGAATTTATTGCTCACAATTCTGGAGACTGGGAAATTTAAAGTCAGGTGCTAGATTTTTCCTGGTGAAAGCTCCCTCAACTTCACAATATAGGGACACACAGACAAGCCCCACACAAGCCTTTCTGAGTGTTCTTTTACCTGAGCCCGTTTTCTTTTCTTTTTTTATTATTATTTGTTGTTCAAAACATTACAAAGCTCTTGACATATCATATTTCATACATTTGATTCAAGCAGATTCTGAACTCCCATTTTTACCCCGTTGCAGATTCACATCGGTTCCACATCCACTTTTTAACATACTGCCATACTAGTGTCTGTTGTATTCTGCTGCCCTTCCTATCCTCTACTATCCCCCCTCCCCTCCCCCCTCCCCTCCCATCTTCTCTCTCTACCCCATCTACTGTAATTCATTTCTCTCTCCTGTTTTTTTTCCCTTTCCCCT